TTTCATTGATCAGGAGGGATGTTTCCTTTCTAGAGCTTAGAAAGATTTCCCATTTTCTTTACACATCATATGTCGGTTCACCCCATTGCTTAGCATGCCTGTGTTCCCTAGAGGCTTCTTGACGTTTTGCTATGGCTCTCTTAACTTCCTCATCCCACCAACTATTGGGTTTGTGTCTTCTTTTCCGCGGTGACTTCTCACGTGCCTTAGAAAGCTCTAACTCAGTCTAATTAGATTCGTGTATGTTCACACTGTTTTATTATCCTCATTGATGAATTTCTCGATTTGTTTAGTAGCCATTTCTATTTGCCTTTCTGAATAAAAATTTTCCTGTAGTTGCTCATCTTGTCTCCTTCCCACTTTCACTGCTCTTCCAAAACTTAGCTTGATACGTTTGTGATCACTACCCGGACTTCTCGAGCCACCTTCATCTATGTGCATTCCCCTGAGCTTATCATACATCCTATGTGACAACAGTGCGTAATCTATCGTTGACTGCAGCCTTCCTACCTCCCATGTTATTTGGCCTTCACACTTCTCGGTACTGTTGCAAATGATCAAATCATGCCTTGCACACATATCCATGATTATTTTGCCTGTTGAGTCAGTATGCCCATCTATATCTTCTATGTGCGCATTCATATCTCCTAGTATAATTATCTCGCACTCTCCTCCTAACTCCTGAATGTCATTTGAAGTACACTCTACTATTGTCTGGTTTTCGTCTCTGGCCTTTGCTCCCGTCCACAAGTACACGAAACCAAGGAGTGTCATTTGCCCTGCCACTTTCCCTTTTAGCCATAAATGTCCCTTGCATCCCTGCTTGACTCTTTGCCAACCCATGCTCTTATGTATAAATGCACCAATTCCACCCCCTTTTTTTGCTGCCTTCTGTTCTATTGCAATATTCCCATACGTAGTCCGGATTGCAGGGTGGTTGCTCCAGGTCCCGAAGATGTGTCTCCACAACCCCATATACCATCAGCTCCTCCTGCCTCAACTGCTCTTCTATCTCTTCCCACTTTAACCTATTCCTGCCTCCCTGCATGTTAATATAGCCTACGTCTGACTTAGCGCGGCCCTTGTACTTACGTCGATTTCTTCTCCCACGGTCTTCGTGTGGCTTGAACACTCGTGCCCTTTAGGTCCGTCTTTGGCTACACTGTTGGCCTCAGGGCTCTGGGTCCCCCTAAAAAAGCTATGGCTTGGCGACCCATTCTGTTACCGACCCTCCTGCCCATCGCTCCACTGTAGTGAATGCCATCCTGTGCAAAGGGGCGAGGGCCGGGCTCGTACACGTCTTGGTTAACTTCCATTACGCTGTATCCGAGTTGCCGGCTCAAACTCTTGATCACACAATTGGCCTCCACTACCCTCCTTTCAATCCCACGAGGCTGCCCCCAGACCTCTGGGACTGTGCATATGGTCACATGCACACTCCCAGAGGCTTTTCGGAGCTTACACATCCCATTCTCTAACTTTCTGTGAAGGTTCTGATCCTTGCCCTTCAACACATCATTGAGCCCAGCATGAATAATGACTAGATTTTCGCCCTCCATGCTGTTTTCTGCAAGCTCCTGAGCTTTGGCCAGTGCATTCACCATGCTCTTCCCTGACTGTGCCTCCAACCTGACTCTCCCATCTTCCTTCACTGTCTTGAAGACGCCATCCGTAACCCTGGCCACGTTAGAGTCCCCCACCACTAGGACCCTTCTACGCTCCAATCTCTGGCTTCCTGTTTGTGATGGCGCCCCTGTTTGCTTCACCTGTTTCCACGGAGGAAAGAAAGGTGACCTGTTTCTCTCTCAGATGATGATGATGATGATTAAAGGCCTCCCCTTTGAATCGGGGTGACAGCATGCGCCATCTAGCCTACCTTAATAGTTCGAGTTTAAATTTTGTCCCTCAACTCGGATGTCTTGTTAATTTTGCCCAGCCGCTACTCTTGGCCGGGATGTTATTTTATCGACTTCTCTGCTTTTCCTCCACCAATACTCCAGCCGCTGCTTAGTAATACCTACTGCTGACCAGTTAATGCTTCCATCAACCGCGAAGCCCAGCGCCTCAGGAAGTGTGACTTTCCCCCCATTTCTATCCGGCCGAATCTTTTGGCATTCCATGACTATGTGGTCGTTTGTTTCTTTATTTGTGCCACATCCAACACATGTCTCATCCTGTGACGAATATTTGCTCCTGTAAGTTAGAGTTCTCAAGCAGCCAGCCCGCGCCTCAAAGAGCAACGCACTACCTTTATTGTTGTCATAAAAGTTCTCTTTCCGGATCTCTTGTTTGCTTGCCTTGTAGATTCCCAGCGATCCCTTCTTTTCCATCCTCTCTTTCCACATGAGCGTCTCTGTTTCCCTCACTTGCTTTTTAACTGGCCCCCTTTGATTATTTGCCGCGGTCAAGTTATATTTAGTCGCCAGCTTTCGCGTCCTCTTCCGCCATTGGGTGTGCACACTTTTCAGGTACAGGTATCTGTGCACTCTGGCTGCCCAGTTCTTCTCATCTAAATGTCTAAGTCGCTCCTCAAACCGTATTTTACTTTGTGCTTCCCTCGCCTCAAATGAAGCTCAACCCATATCGCCTTGTACAGCCTCGCTTGTAGTCTTACTGTGAGCTCCCAGAGCTAACATGCCGCCTGCCTTTTGGTTAACCTCCAGCCCCGACAGGATATCTGACTTTAAGCATAATACGGCATTAGAGAACGTTAGCGCCGGCACCATTACCCCTTTCCAGATGCCTCGTACTACCTCGTACTTATTGTGTCCCCAAAGTGCTCTATGTTTCATTACTGCTGCATTTCGTCTCCCCTTCAGTTTGAGGTGTTCTTCATGAGCATTCAGGTAGCCTTTTCCTTCATTAAGCCAGATCCCCAAGTATTTGTACTTATTTACTAATGGTATGGCTTCCTGTTGTATCCTTATTGGTGCTACATGAGCTTCCTCGTTGAACACCTTGACTCCAGATTTCTGTGGGTTAAAATGTAGGCCTAGGTACGTTGCCTCATCACCACAAATGTCAGCCAGTTTTTGAAGTTCTTCCGCATTATCCGCCAGCAGCACTATATCGTCTGTGTACATCAATCCCGGAATCCGTTGCTCCACTAACACTCCATTGCTTCGGTGTGACAAATCAAAGCCCAATCCACTCTCCTCTAGTCGTCTTTCCATTCCTCTAATGTACAGTGTGAACAGCAATGGCGAAAGAGGGCATCCCTGTTTTAAACCTCTTCGAATGTACACGGGCTCTGTGTATGTACGCCCTTCCCATGTAATGTGTGCCTTGTTATCCTCATATATTGCCCTTAGCAGCCCTAAAAATTCCGACCCAATCCCCTCCTCTTCCAGTATATGCCACAGCAATCCCCCATGTAATGTGTGCCTTGTTATCCTCATATATTGCCCTTAGCAGCCCTAAAAATTCCGACCCAATCCCCTCCTCTTCCAGTATATGCCACAGCAATCCCCTGTCCACGTTGTCATAGCCACCCTTTATGTCCAGAAACAGTAGCCATGTTGGTCTGCCCTGTGCTGCCGAAATTTCGATGGTCTGGGATATGACGAAAAGATTGTCTTCCAAGCGTCGACCCGGCCTAAATCCATTTTGCAGTTCCCCTAAAATACCGTTACTTTCAACCCACTTCAACAACTCGGCTTTGATGGCTTGTATAGCTAATCTATAAAGCACTGACTTGACTGTAATCGGCCTGTAAGAGCTCGCCTTGTCCCTTTCTCCCTTGCCTTTGTAGATCAAACTCATTCTACTTTCGCGCCAGTGCGAAGGAATGCTCTTGGATTTTATAGCGCGCTCGATGGCTCCATACAAGTGCGCCTGTCCCGCTGGTCCCAAATGGTTGATAATCTCTATCGGGATTCCATCCGGTCCTGTTGCCGTACGTTTGGGAACACTGTGTTCTGCCTTTTTCCAGTCCAAAAATTTGATATTAAATTTTTCATCTGTCACTCTTTTATTTGCCACCTGTGTCCAGTTAGCCGACCTCTCGCGTGCTTGGCCGAAAGTATTTCCTATGACTCCATGTAGGTATTCTAATGCGCTGTCCCCAAGGAGAACGTTACCGTCCCCGTCCTGTATCTGAGTCTGCATCTCTTTAGTCGTCGTTCCCAATGCTTTTAAATGGTTCCAGAATTTTTGGGGGGCGCTCTTATCCTTCTTACGTATGTCTGATACCCATTTCTCACTCGCAGCTTTAATCTTCGCTTGTACTAGTTTCTGCACCTCAAAATTCTTTTCTCGGTACCGGCTCCACTGTAACTGCACCTCATCATCCTGATATCCCATTTGCTTTGCTTTTCTGTGCAGTCTAGAGGCCCGTCGTCGCTCTTCAATAGCCAGTTTAATTTCCTTGTCCCACCAGCTTCGTGGTTTCCGTTTACCTCTCCAGCGGTTTTTTTTTTCCTTACTTTGTTTATTTCCTTTTGTATACAACTAACAACCGCGTCATATTCCCACACCTTTGTTGGCTGTGCTTCTAATTCTCTTTCGATGCTATTGACGATGTCTGCTATCTGCTTTTCGCTTACTTTCGGGAGCCCAACCTCTTGTGTTTTCTTCCTAGCCCCCCCCCCCCCCCCCACTGTCAAATTTCAGGATTATGCGCCTGTGGTCGCTGCCCAGACTGTTTTCTCCTTCTTCATCTATCGTCATTTGGTTCAACCGCTCGTACGTGTGCTCTGAGACCAGGCCGTAGTCTATGCAAGACTGTCTACTGCCGCTTTGCCACGTTATCTGCCCGTCGCATTTATGTTCCCGGTTAACTATTACCAGTTGCTGTTCTTCACACATATCGATAACCATTGCACCGTTATAGTCTGTATATCCATCTAGATCCTCAATGTGGGCAGCGCCTCAATGTGGGCAGAACCCCCAGTAAACGTGCCCTCTAGCGGTGGCTGGGCGCGTGAGGCGAGATTCCCTGGTTTTGCTCGGGAGTGCGGCGATTGGGACGGCCGAAGAGAACCACGCGCCGTGCGCCCGCAATCTCGGAGGTCATGAAGCAACGTAGATCTTAATATTAAATCATTCTGCCACTACTGACAAATAGACGCTGCCGACTACACAAAGTCAGCTATTTTCTTCCTTCATTAACTTGTCCATATAGACGCCTCTTTTTCGTTTATCAATTCGCGACAGTGCGCGAAGCGTGCTTGTCAGAGAACACCTATTCGTTGTGCTTGTCGTGCGTGTTGCCGTAAAACTGCTGTCTCCGTGATACCTGTCTATTCCTCAAGTCTGCGTAACAAGTTATAACGCATCAAAGTATCAAATAAGTATTCGGTGTCGTTGGATTATGAAAACCCGTGACAGTGCGTCTGGCGACATGGAAGAGTGCCACCGAATGAGCGCTTTGGAAGACTGCGAAGTGCTGTTGAACGACTTGGCGGATACGTCTGACCTTCCCACGTCGCTCATAATAACCAACGTCGACGTTAGCGTCTTCACAGACCCGGAACAAAAGGTAACCGCCGCCCAGTGTCTCATGACATCATCGTGACTCTGCCAGCTTAGCGAAATCTAATCGATGCCGCTTGGTCGGCAGCGCTACGCTGCTTCACTCAGCTGTTGCAATCTCCCAAGATGTCGAGCATCGATGAATTACTGTCGATGATGGTTTGCCTACGGTTCATCTTGCCGGGCCTGTTTCAATGCTTTCTCTGCGAGCACGAGGCAGAACGTTTTCCTTAATCCGGCCTTATCGAGCGCACACGGGGCGGAGTGATTGATCACCGGCAAATTTCCGTGCGCTGATAACGCAGAGGATGCTCGTTTGAGTGAACTGAACTCGGAAACTATTTCTTCAATTGGTATGTGCTATTTTTTGCTAAAAACTTGTTCTTCGAATAATATTTGTTCTTATCCAGCATTAGCGGTAGCTGTGCGCTAAACTGAGGTTGTATTGCCACATGCAGGGCGCATCGCTGGTTTTTCCGTGGAAGCGGTCGTAGTATTTTGTTTATTTACGCACGCGGTTCCGCTGCGTACCTCGTCCGCTTTTTGCTCTGGGAAAACGCCGAACGTCACTCATTTCCTAGTCTTGTGTGCCACTGTTTTCCTGTGAGAATGAGGCCAAATGACTTAGTCGCGCATCTTCCGTATCTAAACGAAACTGCTTGCTGCTTTATATTTTGTTACAATAATTTCTAAAATTAGGGTGTTGTGAAATCAGTACTAATACTAGGAGATTGCTTACCGTGGACGGCTAGCCGCGCTACACTTGGAGGTGTTGCTTAGATGATTGCGCTTCGCTGGTGCTACACCCGAAAGTCGCGGGTTCGATCCCGGTGCTAGCGGTGGCATTTCGATGGAGGCGAAATTCTGGAGGCCCGTGTACTGTGTGCTTTAGCTGTACCAGGAAGAACATCAGGCGGTGGAAATTACCCGCTGTACACCATTACGGCGTCTCTCATAGAAACGGAGTCAATTTCGCATGTTAACCTCCATAAACCCTAATAAAGTGGTTTTCTACTACTGCCCCATAAGCCAGCCATTTACGACTGTTAGTAGGGCGAGTGCTTTTGCCGAGAAGTTTTCAAAACGCCTTATTCAATTCATGACCGTACAGTGGGCGATAGAAATAATTAAACTGAGCGGCGCTTTTTTTTTACTCTTTCGGTGGATTCTTGGCCATTTTCTGGAATAATCATTCCATTCATGGGACTGCACTGATGAAGAGCACCCTAACAGGCTGCCCACACTAAATTTCTGAAAGAGCCTGCAAGGTATAGCGTACTTTATGCAGCTCGAGTCAAGTACATTACATGATGAGCTAGATGCAGTTCCGAGCTCATTACATCCATACATGACATGCAGTTTGCCCTGTTCATTTATGACAATAACAGTCATGTGATGCGCCTATCTATTCATGAGTTGGTGTATACAGGCACTTTCATGAAGTCTTAGCACCTTGCCACAGGTAAGATTTCTTGTGCCGCATCAAAGGTTGAGTGCAGTTCCATTCAGTTGAGGATGATAGCTATCTCATGTGAAAATTTCTTTGAAATCAAGGAGTGTAGTCATCACTGCCCTTTCTCATTAGACCCGAAACTGCAATTATCAAAGCATTAAGTAATCCCGAATACTCTTTGGCTTTTGTCAACCCTCTCTTCCTCTTGCGAGCGCATTTGGTGCCCAGGCTCACCACATGATCTACTGTACGACTTTGTCGATCAAATGATCATGTTATTGTAAAATGTTATTTTTCTTGAAAAAAAAATAACAAGTATAACCAATCGCAAACTTTCTTTTGTGGAATAAATTCTGTAGCATAAAACTGCTGACACCGAAGCGCTGCCAAGCATTCATTATAGAGAAAGAATTCGTTGGAAGATACCACACATATGTGTATTCAATGTGTCCTCAGTCAAATCTTGTCATGTTGATGGAATTCATTTGAATTTTTCATCCTACATGTACCTTTGAGGACAAGATGTGGCTGGAAGTGTACAAAGTCTTCACCCAGTACATTTATTCAGAAGCATGCATTCGTTTTCATTTAATTGAGGTTGATAGGCGCTATATCATATGAAAATCTCATTGAAATCAAAGAGAAACATGACATTCAAAAAGGCAAGAGTACATGCTCATGCGATTTGTTGGTTCAGTGCTGAAGAATTGACTTATGGCAGCTCTAACACGACTTCTATGCACTGCAAATTACAAAAGCGTGGTAGCATTCTGATGATGTGATGGATCTTCTTTCCCAGTAACTACACTACGGCCAGGGTTCGTGCAGGGCCTTGAGAATTTTGAGAACCCCTGAATTTGAAAATTTAATTCTCATGTCCCTTCAAGCTCCTCAAATTCTATTCTGTCCTTGATAATTCTTGCATTTTGGGACCAATGCAATCAAATGCCTGTAGTGCAACCTGCTTTCTTTTGTAGATTAGCATTGATGCACCAAACTTTCCATTTGAGAAACAATACACTGTGTGAGTTTGCATGTATTATATTTGTGGTTGCCTTGTCCTATCATTCAAGTCCTTTTCACTTACATCTCTCGAAGCGTGGAAACTTGGGCAAGTTGGTACGACATAACTGAATATACGAACAGCGCAACTTAAAAAGTAGTTACAGTGTAACTATGGAAGCAGAGATACAAGAATAGAAGAGTGCTGACTTTCAACAATAATTTAATAATGGAGTGGTGTACATATATAGGCAAAAAAGAAGAGAATGGGCATGCGCAGACGAGTGCAGTTTACAACCACTACGAAACAATATCTGCAAAACTCTTGTTGATTAAACAAATACATAGCTTAAATATGATCGAGATATGCAAACTCTTTCTGCAATAGTGCAACTGATGGGGAACTTGCTCATGTACTGTCAAACTTACGTGATAGGGTTCAATTACTCACGCATGGTGTTGGCTCGAACTTCGTGCGTTCCCCGAATACCTTATGTTACCCACCCAGCGGCCGGCGACCCCTCGCCAACAAGGAAGCAGGGCCACCGGAATGCGGGACGATGACTGGTCTGCTGGCCACAAAGGACGCGACAACTCCCGTGCCGCTGTCGGGCTCAATTATGGCGCCTTACAGGAGACCAAGCCAGGCTGCAGGTGGCCGGTACACGTGGAAGGTACACTTACGCGTCCGCCGGACGATCGGAATCAGCGGAGGCGACGGCATTGGCGCAGGGGCCAATTGTGATGGCCTGTCAACCCGGCATCGCGGGAACTCGCTCGGAGGGCCTTTTCCACAACCTGGCAACGCCCGTCGTCGACCATTCCGGGAACCGGTGTGAAAGAAACCTGAGTGACTGCGGACAACCGATGAGTGGGCAAGAGGCGGTGGGTCTTTGAGGTTGTGGCGAGGAGAGACACATCTGTGCGTTTTGATTGGACTATAAGAGTGGTGCGTTACGATTGGACTGGAAGAGTGGTTGAATGGGGAGACAGGGGATAAAACCAGGGGTGCAGGGACAGTGAGAGGGAGAAGAGAAAAACGAATAAACGTCTCTATACCCAGATGATGTCGGAGCGGTCGTTTCCTCAAGGTGCCAGCAGATGAAAGTTCTCGTCTTCAGCTTCCTTGGCGGCAGCAGCAAATGTCGCGCAACAAGCGAGAGGCGAGTGGAAAGAACCAAACGGAACGTAACTGGCGCAGTCGAGCAGGATCTGCATGGCTGAACTGAGGAGGACAGCGGGGAGCGACATCGGCCGAGACTGACTGACACAACCACCTTCAACTGACTACCACGCTGCGGGATCAACGAAGCAAGGCTAGTTCACGGATTCCGAGGAGGAAGAGCGCACCGCAAGGCTACTTCAGGCGGGTACCTCTTGATTTTCTGTTGGGCGCAGGCGATGACAAAGCATTACAACTTGCGAGACAGAGAAAGGGACAACTCGGAAATGAACGGGGACGGGGCAGGAAACTTGCAGGCGTTGGGAGTCGCCGACAGCGGCACGGGGGTCATGGTAGTGGCACGTCAGATACGGCGTCGGAACAGCAGCTAGCGCTGCTCCAGCTTCAATTAAAAATTGCTGAGGCGGAAATGGAGAAGTAGCGCTTGATGCTGGAAAGCCAGCGGCTACGCGCCCGTAACGTGGCGGAGTCCAACGAGAGCGATGACAGTGTAGCGCTTGGCGGAAGGTCAGAGGAAGACAGGCGACTGAAATTCGCATGCTTGTTAAGGGGTGTACTGGCACCAATGCCGAACCAAGAGGCGCTTGCGCCAATGTGGTTCGAGGATGTTGAGGCAACGCTCGAGTCGTATGAAGTTCCGAGCAAATGGTGGGCCGGGCTAGTTTTGCCACAGTTGAGCGAAAGGGCACGCGGGCTGCTGTGCAGGCTTACAGCAGAGGAGCGCAAAGCTTATGTTAAGCTTAAGTCAAGCATTTTGGAGGGTCTCAGGCTTTCGGCGGCGGAGTACAAGAGGCTGTTTGCGGGATCGGAAAAGGGAGAAAGGGAGTCCTGGGATCAGTTGCCGTACGCCTTGAGAATTATTTCGACTATTATGTCCAGAGTTCAAAGGTAGGCACGTTCGAGGAACTCAAGCAGCTAGTCGTCGCGGATCGCTTGAAAGAATGTTTGAGCCCGGAAGCAAGAGCGCATGTCATTTGTAATCAACAGGAGTCCTTTTTGCTGCCCAGTGGTGTGGCGTGGCTCGCGGAGAGATTCGAGGAGAGCAAAAAGTGCAAGGCAGCACAAAAAAAGGCAAATGTAGAGGAGTGGCAAAAGAAAGCTAAAACAGCGGTAGATACACACATGGACGGAAACGGGAAAAGGCGATGTTTGAGTGTAAGGGTGCCGACCACATTGCCAGGAATTGCCCCAATAAGGGCTCAGGTGCAAGGCAAGGCACTAGGCAGCAGGACAAGAAAACGGTCCAGTGGTCGCGAGGGTGACGGCTTCTGCATTCGGTCAGAAATAGCAATGACAGACAGGTTGTGGCAGCGCAAAGAGCAGAACAACCCTCACTGGAAACTGTAACGCTTAAGAGCTCAGGTCAATCATTAAACGCCGTGGTAGACTCAGGAGCGGAGGTGAGCGTCATCAGAAAGGCACTGGTACCTCAGTACGATGGTACGGGTTCGCAGATAAAGTTGACGGGCGTTCGGGCAACAGGAACCGCTGAGTTGGCTTACGTGCCGCTCATAGCTACTGAAGGAAGTCCTTACGTGATGTCCGAGGCGGTGCAGTCGGCTGTGCTGTGTGCAATCACAGATAAGCGGCTAGGCGGCACCGACGCGCTGATCACGCCCAATGATTACGCACAGCTTCTCGAGGAAAGGGTTAAACGTGACATAGTGTCAGACGAGCGTTCAGCAGTCGAGGAGACCGAAGCTATAGTAGAGCTGTCAGATGAGGCATGCGAGGAGCAACGGGCGATGGCAGGCGTCATAACCGCGGAGAGCAACAGCGAAGGTTCCGAGCCGGTCAAAAGCAAACGACAGGAGTTTCGTGAGGCTCAGGAAGCAGACCCGGCTCTGCGAGATTTTTAGGCGCAGGCAAAGGCCGGAACGCATGATTGCTCGTTAAGACGAGCTATTGTATCATCAGGAACACCTCGCGGGCCGCATCTGCAAACAGCTAGTGCTACCATCGCACAGGCACAAAGAAGTGCTGAAAATGGCTCACGATTCACCATGGGCAGGTCATCAAGGAGAGGGGAAGCTAGTGGCGAAGTAGAAGGGACCGATCACAGTGGTCGAAAAACCGCGACCGTACAGTTATTTAGATGAGCTTGAGGACGGTTCACGCAGAACCATTCACGCTAACAAGCTTCGCGCATGTCACGCTCGAGTACCTGCAGTAGGAGTGATATTCGGGGCCGATCCAGAGAAGGTCAGGGCGATAAAGGAGGTGTATGCTTTGTTAGCGCGTGCGCGCGACGGAGTCAACGAGGTACGAGTGACAGTTGGTGCCTCACGTGTCGAGCCAGTGAACATGTGTGCATATGTGGTTGTGTTTGTGTCGCATGTCATAGATACAGTGCAACACAGTTGGAGGGGAGGTGTTGGGCTCAAACTTCGTGCGTTCCCCGAATACCTTACGTTACCCACCCAGCGGCCGACCCTCGCCAACAAGGAAGCAGGGCCACCGGAATGCGGGACGATGACTGTCTGCTGGCCACAAAGGACGCGACAACTCCCGTGCCGCTGTCGGGCTCAATTATGGCGCCTTACAGGAGACCAAGCCAGGCTGCAGGTGGCCGGTACACGTGGAAGGTACACGTACGCGTCCGCCGGACGATCGGAATCAGCGGAGGCGACGGCATTGGCGCAGGGGCCAATTGTATTGATGGTCTGTCAACCCGGCATCGCGGGAACTTACTCGGAGGCGCTTTTCCACGACCTGGCAACGCCCGTCGTCGACCATTCTGGGAACCGGTGTGAAAGAAACCTGAGTGACGGCGGACAACCGATGAGTGGGCAAGAGGCGGTGGGTCTTCGAGGTTGTGGCGAGGAGAGACACATCTGTGCGTTTTGATTGGACTATAAGAGTGGTGCGTTACGATTGGACTGGAAGAGTGGTTGAATGGGGAGACAGGGGATAAAACCAGGGGTGCAGGGACAGTGAGAGGGAGAAGAGAAAAAACGAATAAACGTCTCTATACCCAGATGATGTCGGAGCGGTCGTTCCTCAAGGTGCCAGCAGATGAAAAGTTCTCGTCTTCGGCTTCCTTGGCGGCAGCAGCAAATGTCGCGCAACAAGCGAGAGGCGAGTGGAAAGAACCAAACGGAACGTAACTCATGGCCTGTGAGTGGTGCATGCCTATACCTCGCAACGCTCAAAGAGGGGCATGCAGCCGCATTCTCGGCAGTGAATTCCGAGGTGTTTTGGACCGCATTGTGCACTTTGGTATTGTGCTCTCTTAAATGGTCATTCAAGCACCTTTTGGTTTGCCCAATGTTGCGTATATTTGTACAACCACTCCCCTATTAAATCATTGTTGAAAGTCAGCGCTCTTTCCTATTCTTGTATCTTGCTTCCCTAGTTACACTGTAACTACTTTTTAAGTTGCGCGATTGGTATATTCAGTCACTTCCATCAGTTCATTGTGTTTCGCATTCTTTTTCTTTGCTCATCTCCTCTCCCTTACTCTTGTCTCCTGCATATATGCTGCTTTATTTCCTGTCAAGCGAGTGGTACATGTGGTTAGTATACTGCAACAATGCCAAACATTAATAACACTAGAAAAATTTCAGCTCTTGTCCTAAACATTTGTGGTGTGTTGGCAATTACTTTAAATGACATTAAGTCTAGGCTTTTCTGCAGTGTAACATCACAGTTAAAAATTGACCCTACTAAACCATATTTTACATCTAAGTAAGATATTTGCATCCTGCGGCAGGTACTTGTAGGGTTCAACGTTGTTGTCAACCTGAACTAATGAAGCTAGCGTGTAACTAAAACTGTTTTAATTAAGTTCTGTCTTAAATAAAATAGCAAAGTAATGCTTACCTTTTTTACACAGATGTATTTTTTCTATGTGTGTGGTCGCTAACACTATGCGTTTAAAACATGTCACTCGTAGTCACAAGACTGGTTTTATTTTGACAGGGTTACAGGCCACCCACACACACGGAACTGTGGAATCAAGGAGTTTTGTTGTTACATTCCAAATGGCACTAAGAGTAGCAATGGCTTATTGTTTACTGTGTGCTTTCGTTATTTCACGATTTATACGACAGATGAGGCTGATCGTATCCTTGCAACTTTCTTGCTCTCCCTGCTCGCATAATCACTGCATGTCATATTTCACATGACTGTGTACCTGGCCTTCATCGCCTGGACCACATATCTTGGGCTCAATGTTCTGTACGCCTGAACAGACTTTTGACGCTAACACATGTTAGTTAGTGGGAACAACTAAGCCGTGGTAGATTTCGGGTGTGTTTCTGTTACAGTTTCATGTTTCAGAGGTCTTAAAAACTTTTTTATCGATTTTACAAACTTCTTGGCTTACCAAATTAAGCTGATTGTCGTGCTGACTTCATTGAATTCACTTTCAACTGTATAACGTGCAACACATTTCGTCAGCCATTGAAACGATGTTGTAGTAAATGAAAAAGTCCTCATTTGGATGCTATTTTTCTAGCCCTCGAGAAATGTGTGGCAGGTTGTTCAAATTTCTGGAGTATCCTTAATTTTCCCTTTTGAAACCTGTTCGAATCCTGTTTGAAACCTGTACGAACACTGGGTGTTTGTTTGGAACTTGTTGCAGTGAATGGAAGTATTGATTTGTTGTTCCTTTCTTAAGTGAAGGCTTCCATCACTCAGTTACTTGGTCAGTCATTCTCAAATCAGGCAATAAAACTGATAACATTTCTTTTTGCTACTATTTGTGTGCTTAAGATGTTTAATGATAGTTTATATTAATAATGTTTTCTGTATTATTTCACCAGTGCTTATTATGCCTTACTTAATTAAGCCTGGACTGTTGATCAACATAGTATATAACGAACAAATGAAAATAGACTGAAGCAATATAAATTGTGTAAAGGCATAGCTTAGGTTTCTATTATTTTATGAATCTTGATGTACCAGTTTATTTTCACTGTTTGCGATTGTGTTGCTAGACCTTAATTTTGAAATTTTTTTGTGTGCACATTAGTTTGTTGCTATTGGATTTTGTTTTATAATAATTTGAAAATGAACCTAGTTTATACATCTGCTTCCTTATCCTTATTCAGTTCCTAGGTTCCTGTCAAGATAACACGTGCTGCCGCCCACTTTTTCTTCTTGAGATTGATTGAAAGTTTGACTGCATTCATTTTCACTTTCACCAGTGTTGACTCGCTGCTACTACCTGCATTCGTGTTACTTTTTGTCAATAACTTCAACACTTGTTGAGTATGTTACCTCTTCATAATGCCTTTAAAGGAGCCCTGCAATTTCCAAGAAACCATCGAGTTGCTTTACTGAAAAAGATTATAGCCTCACGAATCGACAACAACAAAAATTTTTAGAATCTGTCTGTGAAGTACGAGTGGATTCACAGAGGTGTGCGCATGCTACAATTGCTTTCCCTCTTATCTAGTCCCGATAAGCATGCTGAAAACTTAGCACTGTGAGGCGGCACGGGGGAAAGTTGCATCACATGCATAACGTAACCTTGAGCTCTTATTTTTATGCTTACTTTCAGTGTGATCGCAAGCATGCACGGGTATGTCGAGCCAGCCAAAGATCATAAATCTTGGGTATATTTCTCATTCATGTTGGTATGTGGCATCATTTTCTGAAAGAAAGGGGAATGATTTCTGTTTGAATTTGGGAATTGATTGCAGGTTCTAGGCCGTTTGTAGCGCTATAATGGTGGGCGCGTGTGTTCTCAGAAGCCTCGACTAACAGTTGGCAGCGTTTTCGGACCATGCTGAATAATTGTTGCTGGGTCCCTTAAAGATACTTTTAAAAAAGTACAGAAAGGAAATGTATTGATGGACAAGCAGCTAAGAGAAAAGAAAAACTGGCAGTCTCGCTTTACTGTCAAGGATGAGGTAACTCACATGAACCGAGTGGTGTGAATGGCTGAGCCCTTAGGCATCGTTCCTGTGTGCAGGCCAAGTTTGAGGAGATGTTTGAGCTCATCGAGCCTGGTGCCACTTTCGGATACTTCCGCAGCTTCCGCCGTGCGAGGGTCACCTTCGAAAGCCCGGACTCTGCGGCCCGAGCGCGCATCCACTGCCACCAGATGCAGTTTGGCGAAAGCGTTCTCAACTGCTACTTTGCTCAGGTCAGCCAGTTATTTTTGGAGCTTGTTTTCTTTCTTCGCTGACAGCTACGAGAAACATACTGAACTCACATTTCCAAAGCTGTAGACACTGCTTCATCGTTACAGTATGTAAAAAGATTACACCTGGAGGGCACATGGTTGGGAAACACCAACCAGGTACCTTCAAAACTCAACCCACTGCACAAGCAAAAGGAAAGAAGAGGGGGAACAAGAAAGAGTGCAGACTACCAACTGTTCATTGTGAATTCACAAAACTAATGTGCACAAAGCCAGTGTGCATGCATAAAACTTCGTCATCACAAGTGGGCACAATAGCAAGATTTCTTTACAAACAGTACCACAGATAGAGCTGTGAAAGAAAGCACTTTATTTGTAGCTAATGTCACAATCTTTCACTGCATAATCGCAAGTTGTGTACTTCTATTTTCATATCTTTATCTTAATTTTTTTAGTACTACGAACGCGGACAACACATAAAAAGGACACTGTAATACAACCATAAAGACAGTGGAAAACAACTAATATGATAAAACAACACTTCTCAAATCATCCAAGGCCGGCAAAAATTTCCTTTATAATCTGTGTAACATAGAACCTGGGCATTTTCTGTGAAAAAGCTTTACTAGTGTGAAATGAGCTCTCGTCCTGTTTATTCATTCTCTTGTATCTTGTCTGTTTTGCACTCCTAAGTCATGGGTCAGTACAACTCAAGAAAGCTTCTGTGGTCCTAACATATCATTGATTAGTAACTCAGGGAACGAGTTATAAATCGTGATTACTCAACTAGGCACCGAAGGCAGAAGGCTAAGAGTGCAACAGTTTTGGCATAAAATAGCACTTCACAACCGGAGGCGAGACACTGGAAGTTTTTTCTTTTACAACATACTGCAGGCCATGTGGTCCGAGCAGAAGTGGCAACAGACAAAATAAATAAACGTACAATGCACAATGAAAAGTTTCACACAAAAACGGCTAACAAGCAAGTAAAAGTCAAAAGGATTAGGAAACGGTGAGGATGTAGTCCTGTGTTGATTCAGGCGAGTGCATATGATGAAAAGGTATTGGGTTCCACCCTTCAATAGTTTTGGGGAGGAAAGAATACTTAAATAGTTCAGTTCTGAGAAGATAAGGAGAGAGTGTGAGGGAGTGTGAATGATGAGTTTTCTTAGTCTCAGAAAGGGTTATGTTAGGTTTGGGGTCTACGAAAAATTTACAATTGAAGAAAGAATGGAGAAACTTCAGTCAGGAAATCTTATACCTCATTTGTAGAATTTCTAATCCGTTGGAGTGTAAAAGTTCAGTAACGGAGTCATCGCGGCTGTATTTAGAAGAAATTAATCACATGGCTTTTCTTTGTACTCTTTCAAGAGCATCAATGCTAGTTTTGGTGAAGGGATCCCAAATGATGCAGGCGTATTCTGATTTGGGTCTGATGAGAGTATTATATGCTAAACTTTTCACGTCATGGGGTGCATGCTTAAGCTTGTGGTGAAGGAGGCATAATTAATTTTCTAAAAGCTGAAGAGGCGATGTTAGAAATGTGGGTGCGCCAACTAAGGTTGTTAGTAATGGTAACTCCAAGATGTTTGTACTCATTAACGTCAGTCAAAGGGTCTTGGCCAGTATAGTATGAAATTTTAGCGGCGCTGTTTTTCTAGGTATACGAAAAAACACAGACTTAGAAGAGTTCAGTTTCATGCGTCATTTATTGCTCCACTTAAAAAAATACCGTTTAATGCATAATCAAGCAACAATTGATCTTTAACTGTATTGATCTCATTAAAAATAACGCAGTTGTCTGCAAAAAAAACGAATATTTATAGGAGATTGTATGTCATCTACTATGTCGTTACAATAAATAAGAATTAATAGAGGGCCAAGCACACTACCTTGGGGGTCCCCAGAGGTCACCGAAGAAGAATCAAATTGCTGTCCGTCAATCACAACATGCTGTTCACAATGCATTAAGTAAGCAGTTATCCACGGCAGGATGAAACTAGGAAATCCGAGGTGATTTAATTTGCAGATTAATTTGTCATGAGGGACAACATCAAAAGCCTTTTGAAAATCTGGAAATATGACGTCCATTTGGCCACCTCTGTCAAGGACAAAAGCGAATGAATGAATGACTGTACTCAATTGGGTAACTGTCGATAGACCCTTCCTGAAGCCTTGTTGAAAGGGAGTTAAAATTTTAGGCCCATTTAAGAAGTTATTCATGTAGTCTGCAACAATATACTCAATTGTTTTGCAAGACGATGATCAAATAAAAATCGGACAGTAACTTAAGACTGAAGAAGGGTCACTCTTTTTCAATATTGGGACAATACGTGCATGTTTCCAATCGGGAGGAAGCTCCGCGGATTCAAAAGAGGCCTGAAAGATTGCTGCAAGATATTTGCTGAGTAGTTCAGCATACCGCCGGAGGAACAAGTTAGGAATGTTATCAGGACCCACGGATGATTTCGTTTTCAATTTCAGAAGCAAGTTCAACACACCTTGTTGAGAAATATTCATATCCAAGGAGAAGGCCCATAGATTATGAAAAGAGGGCTGAGTAAGTGGGAGAAAACACTGTGGAAAAGGGCATTTAAAAGGTTTGCAATACTCTTAGGGTCAGATATGTCAATACCGTCATGTGTAATGTTCGTTATTGACTTATCTCGCTCTTTAATAATGTTCCAGAACATTTGTGGATTTTCCCTAGTGAATTTAGGTAAATTATTGTTGAAATGAAACTTCTTTGCTTCTGCCATAGATTCCGACAGAGCCACATGAGCATTCGCTAAGTGAACAGCAGTATATCTTTTTTTCGTAATCATTTGGCTTTATGTTTTAATTGAGATACGCCTGTTCATCTAAGGCGTATGTTTAGTTGGCTTTACACATTTGTTCAGGATGAAATGATCAATGCAGAATAAGCAGCATGTCATTGAACTTGTTCCTGAGTACGATGACATCACTCTCACGAAATTCACAAAAACAGGAATGAATATAGTCTGTTATACTGCTATCGTCAGCCCGTGCAAAGTCTCTTACAGTCATAGATGCATGCGTGACAGGCGTATGTCTAACGTTAGCACAAAAAGTATACTGCAACGATATCATGGTCAGATAGGCCAGAGTTAAACAACGATCAAAGCCAGGCCGGTAGGAAGCTCAGCGTTTCCCGCTACTTGGGATGCCTCTTTCGGATCGTCTGCAAAGTCAAGCGAAAATCACCAAAGTCAAGCGAAAGACACCTTGCAACGAGGGAAGGGAACTTCCAGAACAAAACTGTTTATTAAAAGCAAAAGCTAAAAGCAAGATCAGATCAGGTCAACAAAGATTATTGCCCAGCGGTGGCCGATTCCCGACTCGGGCTTCTCGCATTCACACATACACCTCGTTTATAAACAGTTGTGATATAGGTGGAACCATTGTTTGAATCTCTCACCCTATTCTCACCAATGAGCGCATCAGATCGTAATACCGAAAAAAGAGGCGGGGTTATTCCAGTCTACATCATAGCCACCCCCTTTAGAGCCCGCCCTCTATAGTACATCTTCGGAGCGACACTGTGCGACAACTACAGCAGTGTCCCAGAGCCCTCTTGTTTACAACTTCCTTATGTTTTTGTGTAGTTTGCTTGGCGCAGGGACAACACTCGTGAGTCCCTCAGCTGCTTAGGATGTCGCCAACGCCGAGCAAGTTAGCTTGCCATTGGCTCCACGCAAAGTCAAAGCGAAAACTCTCCTCACTGTTGTCCTTTTAAGTCATAGATGCGCACCACCGAGGGGTCCCCATTGTCGACAGTCGGGCTTCCCCTCATTAAATGATGCCGCCTGCCACCTCGACGCCTGCCTACCTGTGGGGAAACGAGTATTCTCTTCTCGTTCACCACTTTACGTGAAACTGGACCGGCGCGGCCACATTCCTCTCAAAACCGCAAATTGCTTCCGAGGGTCACTCCCGATACGTAGCAAACTCTGCCCCTCGTGCCGCGCCAGCTGTGGCCCACGTCTCTATTTCCCTGATGTCGCAAGCAAACGACAAGCACCTCCGGGGAGGCTCTTTGTACAAACGCGGGCCCCTTCCGACGTACACAGATGGCGGCTTGACCATCGTCTTTCAAAGGAATGGTTCTTCTGCCGCAACGCAGTGGAACCAATGCAGCGACGTCAAAACAAGTCTGATGAAACCATTAAACAATTCGAACATGTGTTCTGTGCACTGCCCACTGACTCACCCGCGTGAGGGTTCGGCTCGGTGAAGTTAACTGGCCAGGCTCGACAACTGCAAATTGCTTCCGAGGGTCACTCCCAATACGTAGCAAACTCTGCCCCCCGTGCCGCGCCAGCTGTGTCCCACGTCTCTATTTCCCCGATGTCGCAAGCAAACGACAAGCTCCTCCGGAGAGGCTCTTTGTACAAACGCGGGCCCCTTCCGATGTACACAGATGGCAGCTTGACCATCGTCTTTCAAAGGAATTGTTCTTCTGCGGCTATGCAGTGGAACCAATACAGCGGCATCAAAACAAGTCTGATGAAATCATTAAACAATTTGAACACGTGTTTTGTGCACTGCCCACTGACTCACCCGCGTGAGGGTTCGGCTCGGTGAAGTTAACTGGCCAGGCTCGGCAGTTGTTTGATAATCACAAAAAGAACACTCAACAAAGAAGCAAAAAGAAGAAAAGTTGCAAAGGCCTACTTAGGAGAGGTACAGTAACGGCGGAGCCGAATCGTGAGAGTGAAATAGCTGTAAAGGTAAGGATGGGGTGGGTCTCATTAGGCAAGCATTCGCAAATCATGAATGGTTATCTAGCACTATCCTTCAAGAGGAAGGTATACAACAGCAGTACATTACCAGTACTTACCTATGGAGCAGAAACCTGGAGGCTTACAAAGAAGGTTCAGCTTAAATTCAGAATGATGCAGCGACCAATGGAAAGGAAAATGATGTAACCTTAGGGACAAGAAAAGAGCAGAGTGGGTCAGGGAACAAACTGGGGCTAAGGATATCGTAGTTGAAGTAAAGGAGAAGAAATAGAGGCTGGGCACGAAGTGCACGTAGGCAGGAAAGCCGCTGCTCATTGGGGACCACAGACTGGATTTCCAGAGAAGGCAAAAGCACGAAAGGGAGGCAGAAAGTTAGGCGGGCAGATGAGATTAGGAACTTCGTGAGTAAAAGTGGCAACAGCAAGCACGGAACCGAGTTCACTGATGGAACATGGGAGAGGCCTCTGCCCTGCAGTTGGTCTAGTCAGGCTACTGCTGCTGCTGCTGATGATGAAACATCATATTACAGCAGATGAAAAAAGATAAAATAAATATCATAATCTAATTACAAAACACATAATTTACACATGGCATCACAATCTTGCTTCTTATCATCAGAGTACACTGTAGAATTTATTGCTCAAAAAACTGAGTGATCTAACTTTTGCAACTTAATTTGGTATCAAATTCTACTGATTAATTGTCTTAGTTGCATTAATTCCTGAACTGTCTATATTTAAGCCTTAGCATTCCTGGTGCGATTCGCCTTCGGAGACAAAAAAAGCACAAAGAACACAAGAAAGTGCATGACACAAGCGCTGTCTAACAACTGAAAGTTTCAAGATTTTCAATACTGGCAAAATACCTCTGCTTGGAAAGAGGCAATAGTTCTACCAGTTCTTAAACAGGGCAAAGATCCCACTTCGGTAAATAGTTACAGGCCTATTCCACTCACAAGCTGTGTAATGAAAGTGTTTGAAAAATTATTAATTGTCGTTTGGTCTATTACATGGTATACAACGGTATATTTGAGCCGTGCATGTCAGGCTTCTGTGCAGCAAGGTCTACTACTGATAATCTTGTCTTCCTCGAGTCATATATACGTGACGCATGAATACACAACCAGTACTATTCCTCTGTTTTGTTTGACCTTGAAAAGGTATATGACACTGCATGGCGATACAGAATCCGGCAAGACTTATTGTCCTTCGGAATACGCGGCAGGTTGATTACCATCTTAAGAAATTACCTGTCTGAAAAGAAGTTTTATGTAAGAATAGGCAGTGTGTTCTCGCACACATTTCTTCAAGAAAATGGAGTGCCACTGGGCGGAGTATTAAGCTGCACGCTTTTTATAGTTAAAATGAAGTCTCTTTGCTCTGTTATTCCACCTGCGATATTGTACTCCGTTTATGTGGCCAACATTGAAATAAATTTCAGATCGTGTAACCTGACTCTATGTAAACGCCAAATACAATTAGGTGTTAACGGCCTTGCGAAATGGGCTGATGAGAATGGTTTTAAGCTTAACACTGACAAGACTACTGGTTTGCTTTTTTTTTCCAGACGAAGACGTGTATATCTTGACCCCTACATACTAATGAATGGACAAAGTTTAGTCATCGTGAAAAAACAAAAATTTTGCAGTGTAATCTTTGATGCTAAACTCACCTTCATTCAGCACATAAAACAGCTGAAGTTAAAATGTATCAAGATTATGAACCTTTTAAAAGTTTTATCACATCAGTTGTGAGGGACAGGCAGGCAGTGTCTCATATATTTGTTTATAAGCCTGGTCTTGTTGCACATAGACCACAGATGCATAGTATATTATATCAGTCCGCTTCAAGGACAGCACTCAAACTATTGGACTCTGTATAACACTTAGGTATCCAGCTGTCACTTGGTGCGTTCCGTACCAGCCCTGTCCAAAGCCCTTATGCAGAGTCAGATAAGTGGCCACGGGACTATCAGCGCACATATCCTGAGTCACCTATGCGGTTAGAATCATGTCTCTGAAGCAGCACCCATGCAAAACACTTATGAATAATGCGTCCACTACTCGGTTATACCTAAACCGTCCTTCTATCGCCCCACCGTTTTTATTGGCATTAAGACCTGCAGTAGCAAAACTTGGAATTTGTTTAGATGATTTACAGGAAAGTGACCACGCTTAACACATTCCTCCATGGCAGCAGTGTCCGGTAACTTGTAACTGGTCCTCCAGAGACGTCAAAAAGAAAACTTGTCCAAGTGCGTTAATTGAGAAACATTTTTTGGCCCTTGAGCACAAATATTCTTCAGCCGAATTCTTCTCTGAGAGTTCAAAGTCTCAAACATCTGTATCCCATGCAGCCTATGGACAAAACTTCTCCGGCACTAGAACTATGCATACACATACCAGAATTTTCACAGCAGAAGCCTAGGGCATCGTGGTTATAATACAGCACAATATACAACACAAGATACCTAAGTCTATAGTGTACACAGATTCTTTAAGTGTTGTCACAGCCCTGTCTTGTGACAAGTACAGCAAGAACCCCGTTTTCAACAAGCTCCTTAATGAAATCTGTGCAGCCTATAACCTAAATCTTTTTATTAGTATATACTGGGTGCCAGGTCAATCCGGGATTGCGGGCAATGAAATAGTGGACAAGAATGCACGAGAAGCCGCTGGTCGGCAAACCATAGATATAACCTCTGTTCCGGGTGTAGACCTAAAACCTGTTGTACGTAGAGGTCTACGCAACCACTGGCAAGCTGAATGGGACAGAGAAGTCGACAGCAAACTCCACCTTGTAAAACCCCAACTGAGAAAAGTTATCCCACAAAAACTCAACAGGTTCGCCAAAGTCACTCTAACACGGCTCGGGATAGGCCACACTTATGCCACACATAAACACTTTTTGACAGGCACTGATCCACCTACATGTATGCACTGTGGAAAAAGTCTAACCGTTTTGCATGTTCTCATTAAATGCCCTATGCTTCACCAAGCGTGACTGACTCATTTCAGAGAGCTCTACCGGTATCATAGTCCACTTCATCCCGCGCTGCTTTTATCACTCGATGCAATGTTTCACCTTAAGAGACTTCTTTATTATCTCGGGAAAGTCAAATTTTTAACAATGATATCATTCTATCCTATCCTCGAGTGTGAGGTACCACCTGGTGCTAAAAAACACAGGTATGTCTGAGCCTTCGCAGTTCTTGCTCAGGCAAGGACTTCAGCCGTGAGGGCCTCGGATCTTGCTGACTCATTTATTATCACAGACTCCAGCCAATGATATGAAGGCTTTTAACAAAGTGACGTTCCTTTTAAGCGCACTCCGTTTTAAACATTTCAAAGATATTCCCTACACATAATTTGTTTTATTTTGAGATGAATAACCTGAAATCAACGCTTGCACTGGTGCTCTGCACCAATAAAACGTAATGTAATAAATAATAACAACTGAAAGTTTAATGCAAGAAACATGTATATATGCAAACATGAAGGCATAAAAAATCTTGACTACCCCACCAAGCACGTAATAAGGTATGCTGCAGATACGAAATCTCAGCATCTGTGAGAGCGATTGAAGGCTGGCTCATGCAAATGTCTATTGCTTTTATGATTTCGTACGCTTCAGCGATTTGACGCTTGCCCTGGCCCCTATGCCTCATCACCACAACGGTTTTACTTAACTGAGCTGCACAGCCGCACTGCCAACAATGGAGAATTCTTGTGCTTGTAGAATTTTTGACCACTTGAAATATGTTTCGATGACAGTGAAATTTAACTTAACTTACGTACTGAGGTGTAAGTACGTAATAAAGTACCTTGGGTGGCCTAAATTATTTGGAGTGCTTGAGTATTAGAAAACTCATCGTGCCATGGTTGGTTTGGCTCATCATGGCTGATGAGTCAGATAATTGGTCAGAAAGCTGTGCGATCTCGTTCAGGCCTCGTCACCGGAGGAGGGCAAGGATGGCCACTTGCAGCCCCCGTCTCCGCAGCGACAGTTCCTCATTTCGCCGCCTGCATCGCCACCTGTCGGCTGGGAACCCGTTGAAGAACGCGAACCATGCATCAACTACGACATCATTACAGCCCTGACCAACCTCGCACCAGGTCTGTGCCTTTGCGTTTTAATTAAGTCACCGCATATTCTCATGCCTAACCTATACACAGTACACTGGAAATTTGAAGGGTATCGGAATGCGAGTTAGACCGAAATTTTGTTGTGCAAGTTGGCTTCATGCCACTTCTTCACGGTAATGCAACGGATGTGGCTTCATCAATATATATGGGGGCGTTTATTATTATTTATTTATTCTTCATGGTCTGTAGTTGGGGGGCATGTTGTGTGCAAGAAAGTATGAAATATTACTCAACACTTGTGCACATTTATTCCTAACAAAGAATTAATCAGATGTTAACTTTAAATGTGTAATTTGCTACTTATTTTAATTAAACATATAGGAACAAAAGTGATCGCAGCTGCCCCGCCATGGTAGCATAGTAGCTAAGTTACTCGGCTGCTGACCAGCAGGGCACGGGATCCAATCTTGGCTGCATTTTTTATGGTGGCGCAAATGCTGTAAGCCCGTGTGCTCAGATTTGGGCGCACGTTGAAGAACCCCAGGTGGTCGAAATTTCCGGAGCCCTCCACTACGACATCTCCCATAATCATGTGGTGGTTTTGGGACATTAAACCCTACAAATCAGGTGATCGCAGTGATGTTTCACTAGCCAAAAGTACAGCAGCTGCTAAAGTATTTCCAATGCCCTGTGGAATTCTGGAGCGTGCTCTTGAGGAGGGTCAGTAGATGACATAATGTCAGCACGATGCACTCGCTTCTTTGTTCAGCTGTGCTAGCATCAGTGTTAATGCATTAGCAAAAAACGAACACCATGACATTGCATCTTTTCTGCATCAGTGAACAAACTGGGCCGTCCAGTAAATTCTGCGCAGCTAGATGCTGAGAGGGTGTAAGGCACTATACGGAGTAATATGTTTGCGTACCATCACCATGTGAAACATTTGGCCCCATGCAGCTGCAAAGACCCTACACACCAGCGGCCCACTACTATGGCAAATTCCTCAGGCAGGCTCAGAACATACCTTCGAGTGCTATTCAGTTTATAAATGTAGTTCATGCAGTTTTCTATAGCATGCACACTATTTCCCAAAGCTGTTCATGGACGGTAACACAGCTTTAATGTAACCTTGCGTATTGCTGCAAATAATTAGGTGGCGAGCTTCTATGGTTTGAGAGAGCATTGTAGTCTCGCATACATTTCAATGCAGCTCACGACTTCGTTCGATGAAAGTGTCATGGGCCGTACATTTGCACGTCCTATCTGTTCCTATGCTCACAAACGGCTTGACCCTCGTTCGGGCGCCATATTGAATTGTACAGCATGCCAACTATAGTTCGTTTGCAGTGTAAATAGTGATTAGCAGAAATTTGGCCAAACTAGTAAGAGTTATGTACTAGCCTGTAGAAAACTAGGGGGACTATTTTTCTGTGCGCCTGAAGCAGATGAATGAACTGTTGGCCTGGACCATTACAAAATGAAATTTCGCTGGTTCTGCAAACTGGAAAATTTTTGAAATGAAGTTTGGGAGCTATCAAGTCGCATTGGAAAAACAAAATGATTGCCATGCATTGCATACAGCGCTGACGACACTCCGCATGGACATGACATGAGGACAAAGAATCGAATGCTCAGGTTTGCCTGTTGGACCTCTCATATCCACGAGGTAGCTGCAGTGTTGCACTACTGTGGTCATCCTACTGTCTTTGGTGCCAAGTACAAATGCTTACGATTACAGCTTGTCTTGGACATGAAGCAGCTGTATGAAGAAATGTGACGAGATAATGCAGGTCATTACAAACTAAGCAAAGTTAGTTGATCAGCTATAAAAATACCAGATTATTGATTCCAAGTAATCAATTTTGCATTAACAGTTATGTACTGGCCTGCTCTACTATCACTGTACAATGATAAATGTCATGAGTAAGAGGGCGCGAGGCGCGTGCCGGGTGCTGCAATGCAGCGCTGGTGCGCGAAACCCTGATTGTGTGCATACATGCCACATTAATGTATGAGATTGGTCGGAGAAAGGCTCATGGTTCCCGATCTGAGCCGTTATGGAAAAGCACAGAGGATGAGCTGTCACTGCGGTGTGGAACTTTGAACTGCGAACAGTAGGAAGGTCAGCGTTGCTACGGCAACGAAAGCAGTAGCTGCCCAATTCTGGAGGCTGTTGGTGAAGAGGTACGGGGAGTGGCCGTCAATCTCGGAACACTCGAATGAGGTTGCCCAGACTTGCGGCGACCTTCTACACCAGTTCCTGGGGGGACTTGAGTTCTTGCACTTTGTGCCAGAATGGTTGCGGCCCACACCAGTCTTCGGAGTGAGTCATCAATGAGGCCATTGACGAGCTGAGTTTGAACAAATGGGCCGAAGATGATAAATAAGACCGGGACACCAGCAGTGAAGACAAGCGACTCGCTTGGCGACGGTGCCACTTTGTCGTAGTTCTGAGGGTGGCATCTAAACAGAAACAGTAAGAATGTTAAACTATTGCAGGAGTGCATGAGAGTAGCCACCAAGAGGCCATCTTGGCTAGAGAAAGATTAGGGCTTAGTAATTAGAACTTGGCTCGAATCAGTGTTAGTACCGGTTTCACTGTATAGCCAGTTATTTTGTGCATGTTTGTTTTTGCGTGATTTTTGACGGTTTGTTAATATTTTGCCACTTTGTGTAATAATAAAATGGGTTTTCCGTGTTACCTCCAACTTGCGTCTCTCTCTCTACTCCATTGGCTACAAGCGCTCTCGAGTTAATTGTGACAATGAATTGCATTATTCATATGCATGACTTATGTGTTTTTTGATGGAAGCAAAGCTCCGAAGATCTGTTAACCACCTCGTCATAGTGCCATACTGTTGCGTGGTATTCAAGCATGGCCTGTGTGTGCTCAAAAAATTGTAAGTCAGGGCTTTTCCTTTTTCTACCTCCTGGCGGGCATGTTGATTGTCACGCTGCTTGCCAAATGCATGCACAACATGACCAACCTCTCCCTGTGACCAACTCATGAGAAGGAAGCTCAGAGTGCTGTTACTTACTGTTCTTGTAATATTGTGTGAGCCATCAGCTCACCTCTATGGAGCCCTACAATTGCAAGAGTTTGTTTATCTGGACTAATCACACAGAGGGGACTTTAGCTAAATGAAAATATTTACAGAAAAATGAGGAGCACGTGGGAATGCATAAAGCAGGCACTGCGACTATACAGTAAAACCTCGATAATTTGAACTCGGTTATTTTGAAGTTCTGCTTATTTGAAGTATTTCCAGGGTCCCATATTTCGCAATGAAAATTTTAGCAACTAATTTGAAGTGGCAGTCAGCACTCGTCCGGTTAATTCGAAAACTTTGGGTGCAGTGTGCCAATTCGCCAATCCCGATATCGCCACAAATCCGCTGGAACGGCGGCTCTTAATAGCTACTAGGCTGTAGTGTACTGTAATGCTATAATGTATTGTAATGGCTGTAAAGGCTGTAATGTACTGTAGTGATAATAATGAGTGACAGCTGAAGCGCATCAGACTTGCTATTTCCAGCATGGAAAAAAAAAAGAAAAGTGGTTGATCCCTCTGACGTAGGAATCGGTATAACACACAAAAGTGAGACGTGTCTTTACAGAAGTAGTTCAAGGTTTATTACTCATTTATAAACAATGTCTATTGGCGTTTAATGGCTACAGCAGCTTTAGATGTTGATGCCCCCATGTTAGCATGTGGTAGCACATCTTCTCCATTGCGACAGCCACCAACTCGCAATTAGTTTACACTCTCCGGAGGCACTGCACGCACCGAAGCATCGCGCAAATTACACTTGAACCACGAGAGATCATAAGCCATGCAAATTAAACCAAACGTGTTTTAATTTAATCGTTTTTCAACTATCTGCTGCAGGGAAGGGTGCATGATTTGCAGGTTGGCGACCGTCCTGTGGATATGTACTTGGCATGCAGTGTCCTGCTAATAGGTCACTTCGGTGAAGATACAATAATTTCAGTTCTGCATCGGTGTCTGTATGGCAGCCAGTTGCATTGTGATGCATTTATCTTCACAAACGTGAGAAACAGAGTTCTCAGCTTGAGCCATGAATGCGCCTGTTTTCCCGCCTGGCATGTTCATCGCTGCACTGAGCTGACTTGGGCGGCTGTTTTATTTCAGGGGAGCCTAATTCAACAGTTTTTGTAATCAGTGCCATCGCACTCGTATCAGTAGAAGTTACTCATGGAAGCTGTACTACACTGCACACGGCAGCACGAAGCGACACACGAAGCAAGTAACTGCGTCGTCACCCAATCAAACCAGTGCATAGAGCACATCGCAATTGCTGTGTTTGTGGCCAGCAAAATTGGATCCAAAAACATTGTCGGAGTTGATGGCAGAGGCAACGCCGCACTTTCTTTCTAGTAGGGCCAACGCCACCTAGGCGGTGTTGGTAGGCTCCGATGTTAGCGTCTGTTCAAATGCTGGCATCGAGATGCCGAAGGGCTGAGACTACAGCAGCGTTCTTTGTTAGTGTTAGTTGCCGTCATAATGCAGTACTTGTTTCGTTCTTAGGCGGCGGCACTGCTCTGAAAAAGAGCGAGGATATAGAACAAAGGAGTGTGAGATAGATAAGGTGCATCTGAAGAGTGCTTTGCAAATGCATTAAAATCTCAGTTGGCTAAGCGCGTGCTTAACATTGTTGTAAATCAAGAGGTCGTGGGTTCAATTCCCAGGTCCCCAAAATTGCGATTTTTTGGGGTTTATTTCTTTATATGCTGTTCATGTACATTTTAACAACATAATATCTGTGACAGAAATACGTCAGTGAAGTCTCGGTGTTAAAAAATGGTCTCGTGATCAGCTTAAATGTGCGCTTGCAGAAAACAAGACATGCTTCATTTCAACACTGTGGTGATGCGCAGGCAGCATGTTTCATGCTTCTCGCAACAACAGCACGTCATGATTTACCCGTTCTTTTTGGGAATATCAATAAGTTAATAAAATACAGTCTTGTGGAGTTCCTCATGTATGCAAACTTCTCATTGCCTCTATCTCCAGCAGTTTGTGCACCTCCACTACTGGCGGAGTTTTTTCCTGCAACGCCTACTTCGAAAACTCTGTTCGAAAGCCCCAATGGTGATGTTTTCTAACCAAAACACACTGTCAATTTCGACACACTATCCTTTATTGAATGGTTTATTTTATTAGAAAGAGTGGGCGAGTGGTCGCATCATGACGTGCTGATGCAGCAAGGCGCAGTTAACATGCTGCTCGCCTGTCGCTACTGTGTTGTCATAAAGATGTCTTGTTTTTTGCAGGTGTGCAATTTAGTTGATCATGTCTCTTTCTTCTTGGTGGCAGCAGTGAGGCTCCGCGTTCCCCCTTGTTTGCAGCAAAATTGTGACAAGGTATTGCTAGAAAATGTAACTCTTGGAGCCGCAAACTGGCCGACACAGCAGATGAACAGCACCGATTACTTCGAATTATTTAAAGTTCCTTGGATCCCACTTTTTGTATGTTCTGCTTACCGTATTTACTCGATTCTACCGCGCCCTCGATTGTAACGCGCACCCGGTTTCCACGACGAAAAAAAAAAAGTAAGACATCGATTGCAACGCACACCCATTTTTCTCGTTGGCCCGCACGATCACACCACTCGGGATAACGACTCCTTTCGCAAGCGTCTTTTGTTTAAATATGAGGTACAGGGGAAGCTTGGGCCTATCTGACGTGCAACGGAGCATTGCCGTCACTCTAGTTTTACCGTGGCCCCATGTCAGCCCGCGAACTTGCTTCTCCCCCTTCTTCTCGACGGTTGTGGTGCCAAACAAGTCGAAGTAAAGAGGCGTCTGATCAGCATTCCCGATTTGCCCAAGCAGGTAGCCGTTGTTGTGCTGGAAGTTTAGGACGAACCTCTGAAAACTGTGAAGCTTTTCTTCGTACTCGTCCGGCAACTTTTGGCATATGCCCGTTCGCCTTCAGAGGGAAAAGCCTTTCCTCTTCATAAAGTTAGTTAGCCAGCACCTGCTCGCTTTAAACTGGCTCCATATTAGCCCTTTTTCTAAGGCTAACTGCATAGCCTGCACTTGGAGCAGTTATGTCATCACGGGCCACTGTGCCGCTCACTGCTCAATCACATACTCGCTGAGCAGCTCTTCAATTTCCGGAAATCGACCGTGCTGTGGTCCGCTGAAGCTTTTGCGTGATTCTTTGCTGTCGACAATATTCTGCTTTTGTTTCCCCCAGTCCCGCATGCACGTTTCGGGAACTCCGATCGACCGCGATCCGGCCCGATTTCCGCCCGTTTCGGCACACGCGATGACTTTTAAAAGCGGCATCATGGTGCACTCGTCGAGTTTTTGGAGTCCACCCTTCCATGCCGTCGATTCTAATGCACTACAATATGACGAACTCCTCAGCACACGTACGAAGTGCCGCACATAGAAAACACACAGGCAGAAATGGTTGACGCGCCATGCCGACGCACGTAGGGGGTGGCCATTTTGGAAATGCCGATGGCAATAGGATGACCGTATTCATTTTTTTTTTTCGTACTCGATTCTAACGCGCATGCGATTTATGAACTCGCTTAACCGGAAAAAAGGTGCGCGTTAGATTCGAGTAATTACGGTAATTCAAAAACCCAGCTAATTGGAAGATTTCACACTGTCCCAGTGATTTCGATTAAGTGAGGTTTCACTGTCATTGTTCAGTCATTGTGTTCTGCTTGTGGAAGCATACAGGTTAACAAAGCAGCTGATAAGCGCTTCGGAAAATTATTGGCAGGTGTTTAATTAAGAAACAGAAGGTGGGGATAAGGAAGCAGTTGCATTGAACCACTGTGTACAACAAGGGCTCTTTGGGCACTGCCAAGTTGCCCTCTGGGCTTTTGTAAAAGGCGTGACTCCTGAAAATGTGTTGCTGAAGCATCAATGCCAAAATTTGTAACCCCATGCAACGACCTAGCAAAAAGGTGCTTGCCCTGTCAGATAGAAATGTCTGTGTATATATTCAAATCGAGATCAAGAGAAAGAATTGAAGTTATGAAGGTTATGTAATGAATGCGTAGGGCCATGTAATGAATGGGTAGGCAGTGGATGCCACTGATCACGACGACTAGCAAACCGGCACTACCCTTTCTTGCAGGTGAGCCACACGAGCTACACCCAGCCTCGGAGACGCAGCCGGGCATTGTGGTGCACGTGTGCGAGGAGGTGTCCGCATTGGAGCCCAAGCGTGAGAAGCCCACCTTCATACACACGCCTTGTCCCGGCAGATCGTGCAACGAAGAATCGTCGTAGGGCTGTAAACTGAGTGGCTCCTTACAACCATGGCTGGAGCAAGCCATTTCTTGAGATTTTGGCGGTCGGCATGCCTAGTTGAGGCTGTGACATGTGCAATACCTAGGTGCTTGCCGTTGTGGAGCTGTACTCGTGACCGGGCTACACGTGCCGAGGCACCCGCGCCTGTGTTCACTACTCGTCCCGACCAGCAGCTCTCAAGAGGTCGTCTCTTGGCTGTTTTTAAATCTGTGAAAATATTTCGCTACGATCTAAGAACGCGTCGTTCGTAAGGCCTCCTTTCATATCCAGATAAGCTGTGTGCATCAAAAAGCAGTTCTATAATCTCCTCATGTGACTCCTTCTGAACTATGCTCTAAATTTTGTTAAAGCCCCTGAATTTTGTTAAATAATAACTCAAAAGCTTTTGCTGTAAGTATTACTTGCAGATATTTTTGGATTGGTGTGCAACTGTACAGCAAAGTGGTTCAATGAACATCCTTTTGTGAGGTCTTGCAACAACTGGCACTTGATTTTGGGCATGATGATGCCACAGACAACGAAAAGTGCCAATGTAGTGTGTTGCAAATACTGTGCATTGATATCAAATGCATGATGTAGGATAATCAATGTGCATTGCAACCTGGCACACTATCGTTTACACCTCTATCTATTCAGTGAAGGAAAAAAAAGAAGCTTTTCAAATTAAGGAAATGTTAGAAAATGGTTGCTGTGTTCGTGTGCAAGTGAATGCAATCTTAAACATGTAATCTCAGTATTTTTTAAATATAAAAGGTCTTTTTCATGTTTATAAAATACCTTCAGGAATAACAACTGATCTGAAAAGTGATTATGTTCACGAGATATCTTTGGATCCATTGGTGATGTGGAATTCGCTCCTTTCTCAAAACTGGAGCATTGTTAGTTGGGCTGTAGAATGCATTCTCGACTATGAAAAGTGTTAAAGCAAACAAGTTTCGTGAACATTAGTAGTGGCAGCTTACACAGTGTTGTTATTGTAACACCACAATGCACGATTCCTGCCACTCTCATCATATACTCAGATGCATTTACCCTGCAGAACCACGGCTCGTGGCGAACAAACCTTCGGGTGGGCACGTGACTTGATAGCACAGTCCTCAGATCTTCACGGCATGGACCGCAGGAAAATCGCAGCGTTAGCATATGCTTGTTTGTGTGTTGAGGCATGATGCTGAAAAGTAGTAGTTAAGAGGAGATGGGAGCCAAAAAATGCAAGGTTTTCCCAAAACTGCATGTTTTTTTTGTTTTTATTTGATTTCACAAGTTTAGTTTCTCTACTTTCGCCCCGCCGTGGTGGTCTAGTGGCTAAGGTACTCGGCTGCTGACCCGCAGGCCGCAGGATCGAATCCCTGCTGCGGCGGCTGCATTTACGATGGAGGCGGAAATCTTGTAGGCCCGTATGCTCAGATTTGGGTCCACGTTAAAGAACCCCAGGTGGTCGAAATTTCCGGAGCGCTCCACTACGGCGTCTCTCATAATCATATGGGTGTTTCGGGATGCCAAACCCCACATATCAATCAATTTAGTTTCTCTACTTTCAGGACAGAAGGATTCAAGATTGTAATCAAACTCGAAGTCAGCTAAGATGACATTAAAAGAGCACAAAGTGGCCAATAAACATTAGAAAAAATGTTCGCTGTCTAAGACTTTTGGAAATTGTCACCTGGCTGCTTGCTATCGCATTTTGCATGAGCAGTTCACCAAAGCTGCATACTCAAACTAACTATGATTCCCAAACTCTCAAGATGGAATAAATCATTTAAAAAACATATATTTGCAACATAGGTGAGCTCTCACTTATACCTTTAAAATGCATTTTTTTCAAGATTCATTTTCGGACAACTTCTTAAGTTTGGACACCATGTTTTTGTTACTTCTGATTGTCAGATCAGGATGAAATTTTGCCCCCATATTTCTTAACGTACGAAGAGTGCAAGTGTTTTCTTTTAAACTTGAGAATGCCTACATGAATATAACGGGCCTAAATAAACAATTAGTGTGGGCTGAGTCACATTAAAGTCATGTCACATTAAAATTTTTTTGTCCATTAAAGCATCTTTTATATTATTTCTTGTTAGTTATTTGCATTCTACAGTTAATGCAGATCAGTGTGAGCTGTTAATCCCTCAAAACCATGAAAGTTTAGTGGCGAAAACAGTTTGTCCAATAACCTGTATTTCACCCATTGCATTGTGCAAGTTGAAAACTGGGCAGCTTATAAAACACATTACATATTTGAAATCTGCACAAAAGTCAAAATATATAGTAATAATTTCATTGATCTAGGCTATAAGCTAAAGAAACTTTCTTTTTCCAAGTTGCATGTCCACTTATACACAAATATGCACACTGATGATGAATGTTTCTTTCCTTCCACTTCCTTAAAAAGGTACCAGAGGCAAATATTAAGTCGACGTTGGTCGTTGAAATAGCAATCCAGAAACCTCACAGTGCTACTTTCGTGTCAAGGAAATACTTATTCCAAGATGAAATTGCGTTTAGTGGTCCGCACGATGTTTGCGCCGTTCAAGTCACTTACCTGAACACGCCTTCTGATGTAGCAGTTGCCCTGCCCAACCTTGCTCGCCTTTACTGTGCGGCCGCCGACACTAGCAGCTGCAGAGCAAATTTAGCGGGAGCCACAGCAGCAATAACGGCCATTGAAGCTTGTCACTCTAGATGTCATCAGTGAACCTACCAAGACATTGGCTCTGCGACGCTGATGAAGAGGCATGGTGCACAGCCATTTTGAGTGTAAGGGTTCGTTTTGTGGCACCCACTGGAAAGTTACATCAGTCTTCTTGCTGCAGCTTAAGTGGCGTACACCATTTGGCAATCCGCCAACTGCACCTCCATGCGGCATTTTGTCAAAGTTTCCGTCACAGCTACTTTTGTGAGCGTGCAAAGCACAAGACGCAGTACGCGATACTGAAGCTACCACTGAGATGTCACTGTGTGAGTGAAGCGTAGTTCGACAAAACTTTTGAATCACTCGCGCCATTCCCACTGATGACGCAGAGCAGTTTTTTTTTTCAATGACCCAAACAGTAATGGACAAGTAACATTTTATTATTATATGTTGTGACATGTAAGGTTGTTTTATTTTCCCTAACTCATTTGATTACTAGTAATTAGTTTTACTCGGGACTCTTTACGCCATGAAAGAGAAAACTTGTGAATGAATGAGAAATTGAGGTAAAAAAAAGAAACATAAATAATATTCGCCATGAAGTCTTATAAGTATAACATGCTACCTCTCAAACTTGTACTGTCAAACCCAGATGCCGTGTATCTGAAGGTGATAAGTTTAATATATGTACTTCTATTTCTATGCAAGGAATTCGCCAGAGTATGATACAGTTGGTTTCAACTGTATATCACTAAGCTTTTGCAAATTCTTTCGAACAGATTGTTGCAACTGCTCCATACTGGTTGTAATTCAACATGTCCTGTTAACCAAAATTGTAATAGCATGGTTCATTTTGCATGTGTCGTAACACTTGCTGGCTTTTGTAGCCAAGTATCAGAGCAGCTTCAGTGTTATCTTCTGCAATGATGTTTTTGGCACTGCGAGTGTATTGAACATTTAGCGTGATTACAAACCTGTCGTGCCACCACCCATATTTCTCCTGTACTTTCCTGAACAGGTCCCACAACAGATTGCACTCAGAAAATGTTGCTGGCCTGTAGTCGAGGCTGCTACGAGCCAAGTATTATTACGTGCAGTAGGCAACTTACAATTTCGTCTTAGTAGAAGCCATAAAAATCACTTGCCGTCATTTTCACTGCGCCGTCCTTGTTACATAGCAAGTGGGCACGACAAATGGTGACCAATTTCATGGGTGGCACTGCAGCGAATGGTCTTTTGGGCCACATGCTGCCTGGTGCGACTATGCGTCAGCATGATGCACATTTGCACCAGTAGTAACAGTCAGTAATATCGCAGAAAAAAATATAATATCGTGGCAATATAATAATATATATAATATCGTGGCAATATAACCTTAGCGTAGTACATTGCTCCCTTGCCATGCTCCCCTGTGCAGTTTCTGGCATGCTTATGGTGAGGGAAGTCGGGAGAAAGCATGTATTTTGCGCACTAATTGACACTTGATAAATTGTGACACACTCAAGCAGGAGATTTAAGATCGAGGCAGCCAACTGAGTCTGATAGTATGGTTAAAGTAAGATAACTAAGAAATTTGTTGCAAAGCCCCTTTGATGTGAACAGCTCTAATGATTGACTTGCTTATTTTTGGTATCCTTTGTCATACATATTAGAGTACGTTGGTTTATAGCTGTTAGTGAACAGGAATGATAGAACGTTACATTGTCTTGGTTCCCTGATGTAACGTGCATGTTGCTGTGTGAACAGGGACGCAAACTTAGTCGGCATACGTGTAGTGTTGGTGTGGGCTAGCACCTCACAACCACGGGACTTTATTTCATGCCCACCAGTGCCCCGGAGTCACCAGCCACGCAAGGACTTGGCACCATCAGTGGAACTAATGTTATTGTTGTGTCTTGAAATTTTGGCATCTGGAGTGCTCCCACCATGCTGTTCTCGTCGTGGTCGGTTTGCGTTTGTCGTGTGCCACAGCAGCAATTATGCAGCGTGTTTCCTTGTATGTGATACAGAGCATCGCAAACGCATGCTTTCTGCTGCCACAAAACGTCTGCTTGTGGCCAAGTTGGCCGTATGAAGCTGTGATGGTATTTGACAAGGCTTAATCTTCACCCATAGGCAAATGCAGATGCTCAGACCCCACTATGTTTAGAAAAAAGGTTCAGTGTGTCCGATTGGCTTTCATCCCACAACCCGAGTTGTCACTTCACTGTACAATCGTATTGACTGGGTTGTAATGCAACCACGATGATAATGTGAGGGGTGACTAGTCATTGCGTCGAGGAAAGAAAATACAACAAAAATAAAAGAATTGCGTGCGTGATTGTACTTTTTAGACAGCTTGAACTTAGGTATTCAATTGTAACACTAACACGAGAGTCGACTTTAGGTAGCAAAATTCTGGAAAAAAAGAAGTGTTACAATCGAGTAAATACGAAAATTTCATTGGTTTGAAACTTCATTTTGTGATTTTTTTTCTTTAGTGAACTGGGGATGTCTTTGGCCTGAAGAGTTTAGTTGGGCCTTGGTAATTGCTGCAGTTGTAAGATTGGCATTGCTCATTCTTTTTATTTAATCTCAGGTTGATTGGACTCGTAGTATTTGGCTGGGCAACATATATTGTTAAAGGGTTCGATGAGCTTTGCATTGCAGCAATGGTCACGTTGAATGGCATGTTGTTTGAAAGAGAAGTGCAATACATGAGAGAGCTCATTAGCAAGCTGCATATTGATGACATGATTAAGATGCAGCCTAGCATCTTTTGCTTATTCTTGTTATAGTGTATATTTATTATGTATTGTGATCTGAAATACGACTATATGAGGGGCTAGAAGCTTCCTGGAGTTAGAGTAAGTGTTGTGCATGCAGATTTGTGATGGCATTCTTGTGATAGTTAAAAAGGGCAGTATGGAAAGCATTAAACTAGCCTCAACTTATTGTGAGTGTATGTTTAGAATTGTAGACAGCATGCAGAATGTTACGAAATGATTAGAAGCGACACCACTTTAAAAGCTCCCATGCAAGCTCACTGTAACGAAGTGAGTTCTGTCTGATGCTGAGAACTTCTCAATTTTGGCATGAGATGTATGCTTCTTGCAAGAATGTACAAAATCTCCACCTTTCTTGCACATGAACGGGACAAGCAGAATTACTTTAAATTTTCTTAATGGTATAGATTATTCTCATTGTTTTCCTCCACCACATAGTCGCCAAATGAGATTTTCGTTTAAAAAAATTGCAGTCTGCTTTTAAAGTGCAACGTTTTCAGTAGTGTCCCTGTCAAGTTGCTTGGTAAATTTGACTGGTTGTAATCTTTTGTCATATACAACCTAAGGAAGTGAATGAAGCCCCGCCCATACCACTGAAGGGTGACCACCAATTGCCTCAACAACTAGAGAAATGGTTCTGCTCTTGTGCCGGATGGCTGAACCTACGGCCATCTGATTCTATCTTACCTAACTATACTGTTTTTAACACATTTGCTAGCTTTGCTTAGAAAGCTGCTGCAGAGCTCAGTCTTTCGAAAATACTTCATCATCAAACCAGGAGCACGTCTAAGATCCGCAGAATCACGATTGCGTGACTCCTCCGATTGC